CAAAGTTTAACTGATAAAATAAGCCAATAATTATTGATTCATTGAGGTAAAAAAAAATTTTTAAATATATTCATTTAGGGAAAAATTTTCATACCTCCAACAAATCCGTTAATGATTAAAATAAGCGCGTTTGATAATGTAAATTGATCAATTTTATTAAATGTTTTACGCTTTTTTTCAACATTTAAAATAAATAATGCAATTGCAAACGAAAAAAACACCGAAACAAATATCATTTTCTTCTTTGCTGGTGCTAGCAGTGGGTCAACAGTCTAAAAATTTCAACGAGGTCAAAGCAGCACAGCTATGATTGTGTCAAATCGTATTTTGCTGAATTAACAGAGATTAACACAGATAATATGCAAAATGTTTTTCTCAAAGTTTAGCATTGCCAAATAAGAGATGAAATTTTTATAAGCTCTTTTGTTAATATAATTATAGCTATCAGTGAATAGTTTGATTAGCTAATTTGTATATTTGAGCATCTCACATTTTATTAATTTTGCACACAATTTAATAAATGAATTATAGCGTATGTGAACTGCCCTATGTTTCTTTACGTTTTTTCAAAAAAAAAAAAAAATGACCTCAAGTCCAAAGATAACCCCAAAAATGGCACCAATTGTTGAGAATAATATAGAATGCCATTCAACCAATATTCCAGTAAAAAAGATAGTGAATGAAGCAGCAGTTAATCCTTTTTAAGTAGCAAATGATAAAGTGATAATAAGAAAAAGTAAAAGAGTTATTAATTTCATTTTTTTGATCATTGGTCATTTGCATATTGCTTAGAAATCTTCGCTACGTGTAAATGTTGATGGCCAAAAAAAGTTATTAATTACTTGCTGGATGAATGCTTCGGATTTTTGAAGAAAATTTATAATGCCTTTAAGAATTATCATTAAATAAAATTTTTATATTGTTAGCCTAGTAGCTGCAAATTTATACATATTATTTTTAGCACTTATTAGAATGATAAAATAATTGCAAAATTTTAGAAAAAGACTGGAATTGATAGGTTGAACAGATGATTTTGTGTCAAATTACAATAAGATTTGGCTTAAATTTGCTAATATTACTGGTATATTTTAATTCAGTAATTCTATATGCCACCAATATTAGAAGTATTTGTTTAAAAGGAATACCGCATGATTGTATCATAAATGAAAAATCACGAGCCACAATGGGGCTTATATTGAGAGCTAATGTCATTACTGGAAATGCGACAGCTCCGCCACCTTCCGTTGTCATTCCTACAAATCACTACATTATTAAGGACAATTTTTGACATTTCATCTTTCATTTGACTTAAAATTTTAATCCAATTAAAACATTTAATATCCTCTAAAATTACTTTTCATGGAAAGCAAAAATATCACTATATTTCATAAGTACTGTTACATTTTACAGCATATAAATTAAATTTTTTTGTTTTAAAAAATTCCGAATTTCATGTTTGCTTTAAATTTCTTTCTCTGAATTAATCGTCATCGAAGAGGCTGACATCATGAGTAGGAACAAAATGAAATGAACAATATTTGACAGCAAATTAGATTTCACCAAACTTTTTAAAAAATTTAATAATGGAAAGTAAATACATACCTCCAATTAATGCTCCAAAAATCATTACTATTGACATTACATATTTTTTTGCAAAATAATGATAGAAATTATAACGAAAAGCCAATAACCAATATATTGTTTGAAAAGAAACGAATGGTATAAGAAAACCTTTTAAAAAACAAACTATATGAATAGTTGGATAAAATTTTTCATTGAATAAAATTTTTTTTTACATACTTTTTCAATATTTTTTCATGAAGTTTAATTTTTGTTTTTGTTTTTGTCAAAATAACACACACAAAAAGCTTGGAAAAAAAAACTTTTTTATAATAAAAATTTTTCTTTGAAGTAAGAACAATAGTATTTGTTGTTAAATATAGCATATCAGTTTTACCAAGTAATTTTCGATGTCTGACCAGTAATTCATCAATGTTTCCATGATTTTCTTGAATAACTGTGGTTTCCTCACATGTATATTTTTGTCCTAAAATAACGATGCAGTAATTTCGAAATATTTAATAGTCATATTAAAAATAACTTGCACAAAACAATCACAACAAGTATAATCTGTTAAAAGTTAAAAATTTTCCATTTAATGCTATTGTTTAAAAAAAACGTATCAATTTTAAAAGATTAATTTAAAATAAAAGAATGATTGACTAAAATTAGTATAAATTATAAGGTGGCGAAAAACAGATCTAAATTTAACTATTAAAATTTAATAATTTTCTTATACAAAGAAATTGAATTTGTGCAAATTTCACCGACCAATTGATTATATTGCTATCAATCTTACCTTCTAGCATATTATTAATTAGTCTTACCTTCTAAAAAGTATTTCCGGAAGAACTTCCATAATTTCTGACGATTCGTTGAAATTGCTTCAGCATTCTTCACGCTTGCTGTGTTAGTCATTTCGAAAATGTTAGAGGTATTTTTGAATGATGAATAGAATGATTGCAAGACTTGTTTGAAAAAAAAAATGCTTGAATAGAATAGGAGAGAGAAAATGTATGCCAATGTAACTTAATGTGATTGCTTCAAAAATTAAAAAAAAAACTAGTTAATCACGAATTAAATGGGTGATAATTAAATTATTTTGTAATAATCATCATAACAAATCAATATGTTATCAATTGGTATTTATTAACATTTATTAATTTTGAAAAAATTTATCGTATTATTACATTTAACATTATGTTATATTAAAATTATCCCTTTGAAATTAATTCCTTACATCGTATATAAAAATTATTTAATATGAAAAATTTTTTTTAA